TATTATTCAAGCTCTCATCTTCAAAAAATCATTAATAAACATCAAATTAACACTAAAAAAGTTACTTTAATTCTTTTTTTTTTTTCCTAAAAAAGGGGTAATCAGAGCCATCGAAAAAATAGGAAACGCAGCCCATCACTTTTCTGACCTTTGAATCCCCATTTTCACCTCTATTCTCCTCGATGCTTGTTTTCTCCCGATAGATAAATTGAGCCACTTTTCAACAAGAAATCTCATTCCAAAGTTCCATTAAAATTTCCACAATTCACATATTCTCTTCAATCCCAACTAGTGCGTGGCCCGTACGATGCACGAGAAAACAATATTACGATTGTATTATAAATTAAATATATAAATAACATTAATCATGATTTATCCATTGTTTTTAAATTAAACCGGGTTGGACACAGTCCGACCAAATGTACCGAGAACCGGTTTAACCAGTCTAGTTCACTTAAATATTTGCTCTTGAATCCGTCAATACCAGCCAGTTGGACTGGTAGGATCCGATACGATTTTTTAAATAAATTTTGTTATATTTAAAATTATTTTAAATAAAATTACATATTTAAATAAATAGAGATTTATAAATTAGTTATCAATTAGTTTAAACATTTGAATTTATAAATTATTTAAATATCTAAGTAACAATTTTATTTAAATTTATTACGAAAAGTAATATATATATATATATATATTAAAATGTTTATAAATTAAAATCTGCACAAACCACAAATCATTTAATAAAATAGCTTGATTTTTTCGATGATGTCCAGTTATGAAACCTTATATTTACTGTACATTAATAAATATTATAATAAAATATTATTTAATTCACAAAAATTTTAATAAAATAATATATAAGTATTCATAAATCATTAAACATGTTGTCATAAAAGTATTGTTAGTACGATTATTTGAAGTTTGGGCTACATCACATTCACGTAATAAAATATTTTCAATATAAAATTTATATTTAGGTTCGATAATCGATTTGGTGTGGTCGAACTAATACATAACTTAGTCACCTCGGACCAACCAAGTTGTGTCAAATTTTTTGAATATATTATATATCACCTAAAAGTAATTCAATCAACCTGGGCAATACCCTAATTCAATCACTCGATTGATCCGAAGAAATTTTCTTATTTTCTTTAAATATATTTAATTTTATGAAATAAAAATATTTTATGATTCATATAATAAATATCTACACCAAATGATAGTATATCAAGATTATAAATCATATATCTAAATATGAATTAATTATTTTTACTTTATGCATATTAATAAAAAATAAACATAGTAATTTTAAAAAAATTAAGATTAATTGATTGATTATGCAATTTAAGAATATTTTTAGCATTCAATATTTTTTTAAAGGCACAAATATAAAGACCGAGATTCTAAAAGTTTTGTTATAACTTAAATTAAGATTTTATAAATATAGAGACCGAGATTTTAATGTTGTTCGTTGTTTCTAAGAAAAAAATAAAAATAAAAACATACACACTTAATAAATCTTAGCTGGATTTTTTAAATAATAAAATGAACTAAAGTCCGAAATTTAAGGTAGCATTTAATGTTGTATGATTTCTAAAGAAAAAAATAAGAAAATTAATGAAACTTACTATTTATAGGTTGCATTAAATTCTGATCTATTTTTTTGCTACTATTTTTTATAAATGGATATATATATATATATATATATATATATATATATAGATATAGATAAATATAGATAGATATAGATAGATATAGATAGATATAGATAGATATAGATTTCCAATCTATATATATGTAAAAAGGTTGATGTAAAAATCTTTTTTTAGAAACTTAAAAATAATTGAGTTGACTTTTGACTTTCTATTTATGTATTCTACTTTAATTAAGCAAATGGATATTCTCCTTAATAACGGTGATATTTCCGTTAATTAAGCATGTGAAATTGATTGTCCGTTGCAAAAATCATGGGACATACTATCTATCCAAATACAATCCATAATTATCTTATCACTTTTGGTTAATAAAAAATATGTGAAATTGATTGTCCGTTGCAAAAATCATGTGACTTACTATCTATCCAAATACAATCCATAATTATCTTATCACTTTTGGTTAATAAAAAATTGTATAAAAGGATATTCACTATCACCATTACAACTCATCATTCACGAGTTCAGAGAAAAAAAAAATAGAGAGAATACTTTTTCATCGCATATACAATATAATGCTTCCAGGCTGGGGTACACTTGATTCCGTTAACAAAAGAACCAAACCTTTTTTTGCGTCTGAGAGCAGTCCGCATTATTGAAACCCATCACGAATGGGAGAGCTGTAATGCATATTCATGATGAACAGGTAATATTTACCTTTGTTATTTCAATTTTATATAATTTAGAAAATTATTTTAATTAATATTTATAAATTTGTATCGTATGGTGCTTTCATTATATGCATAATACGTTATCCGAATATGAGAGCAAACAAACTTTATATAAATTGAGAGCAGTCTAATTTTTGTAAAATATGTAAACTTTAAACGTGTTTTTATATATAAAATTGTATATACTTTTAAACATGCTAGTTGAGCAAATTTTAAGGATATAAATGTGTGTGTGTATGCAAACTTTAAGTATATATATTTTTCTTAAAAAATAGTCTAGACGAAATTGAGGTAATTTCACATTTTTCAATAATAATATAAAATATTTTAATACTTTCACATATGTTATATAATAGTCTACGTATTCTTAATGTCTTTTGGTTGTAACATTGTTAACACATATAATATTAGATACTTTTAAACATATTTAGATAATTTTTTACTCATTCTTTAATATCTATGTGCATAAAAAGAGAATAAGATTTATAAAAGATTTTCCGGCAATATACTAAATGCTAGATAAAAAATCTCATTTTATTTGTTATATAATATTTCGAGTTGCATTAATTTTGATTTGTATGTGTAAAATTGATAAATTAAGCGTATGAAAAGGAGCGTACGAATTACTGTAAGATTTTTTAAAAAATAAAAAATAAATATAATTTTTGAATATTTTCTACTAACTTCTAAACGAATTTATGTCATAATTCGTCATAATTTTTCCACATCATGTCAGTATTTATTTTATATATACTAGGTAAAAGGTAAATACAATCCATAATTATCTTATCACTTTTGGTTAATAAAAAATATGTGAAATTGATTGTCCGTTGCAAAAATCATTGGACTTACTATCTATCCAAATACAATCCATAATTATCTTTATCACTTTTGGTTAATAAAAAATTGTATAAAAGGATATTCACTACCACCATTACAACTCATCATTCACGAGTTCAGAGAAAAAAAAATACAGAGAATAATTTTCCATGGCATATACAATATAATGCTTCCAGGCTGGGGTACACTTGATTCCGTTAACAAAAGAAACAAACCTTTTTTTGCGTCTGAGAGCAGTCCGCATTATTGAAACTCATCACGAACGGGAGAGCTGTAACGCATTTTCATGATGAACAGGTAATATTTACTTTTGTTATTTCAATTTTATAGAAATTAGAAAATTATTTTAATTAATATTTATAAATTTGTATCCTAGGGTGCTTTCATTATATGCATAATACGTTATCCGAATATGAGAGCAACAAACTTTATATAAACTGAGAGCAGTCTAATTTTTGTAAAATATGTAAACTTTAAATGTGTTTTTATATATAAAAATTGTATATACTTTTAAACATGTTAGTTGGGCAAATTTTAAGGATATATATGTGTGTGTATGCTAACTTTAAGTATATATATTTTTCTCATAAAATAGTCTAGACAAAATTGTGGTAATTTCACATTTTTCAATAATAATATAAAATATTTTAATACTTTCACATATGTTATATAATAGTCTACGTATTCTTAATGTCTTTTGGTTGTAACATTATTAACACATATAATATTAGATACTTTTAAACATATTTAGATAATTTTTTTACTCATTCTTTAATATCTATGTGCATAAAAAGAGAATAAGATTTACAAAAGATTTTCCGGCAATATACTAAATGTTAGATAAAAAATCTCATTTTATTTGTTATATAATATTTCGAGTTGCATTAATTTTGATTTGTATGTGTAAAATTGATAAATTAAGCGTATGAAAAGGAGCGTACGAATTACTGTAAGGATTTAAAAAATAAAAAATAAATCTAATTTTTGAATATTTTCTACTAACTTCTAGACGAATTTATGTCATAATTCGTCATAATTTTCCCACATCATGTCAATATTTATTTTATATATACTAGGTAAAAGGTAAATCATTATCTCAATATTTATTCTATATATTCTAAGTAAATCTTCTCATCTATCTCAACGGTCCGCAGGTAATATTTCATACTTTTCTATTCATAATCAAATATATCAAAGCTTCACAAATTTACTTCACAAAGAAAGTGTTCAATAATTTATATTTTTTTTTCTTTCTTTGCAATCTATTTATTTTTGTTACATATATATAAATTATATTATTTTTAATATTTCACCCGTTAAACATTTCAGGAAAATATACCATCCTGTGCATCGCACGGGCTACACGCTAGTTCTAAGAACATTAAGGGCCTGATTGTTTATATTTTTTACAGTAAATATCTCACTCAAAACTCAAATTTAACTCAACTCCATTATCTCCAATATTATCAATATAATTAAATAATATCAAACAATCATTACTACACATCACATCGAACTATTCACACACTCACATAATTTTAACTAACCATCACTTCCAATCATTTTCTCCTACTTTTACATCAAATCAACTTTAATTATTTTAATTTAAATATTATTTTAATATATCCACTAACAACTAACCATACTACTTTTTTTCAAACTTAACTATTATTAAAAAAAACTAAATTTTTACTCGTTGAATTCATATCCAATCACCCCTTAAGCTCTTATTTCCTTTCAGGACATGAAAAATTCTTCAGTGTAAAAAAAACCCATTCAGTAAACTAGCAACAATTGACCTCAAAATTCCCCATTACCAGAGCCATCGAGTTATTGCCTTCCTCTACCGGAAAATCCTCCGTCACTTCCATCTCCTCGTTGCCAATCTCCGGCAAAGCAATCACCGCTCGTATCCCGTGAACCACCAGCCGTTCGCTTTCGTACAGCTCTGGGAAAGTGATTTCGACTCTATTCACCATCACTGTATCAACTTCATCCTTGGTAATCTCCTAGCTAAAGCCGCTCACATTGTTGGAAACCACAATCCCGTTCGCCATCTCATCCATATCATTTCACATCACTTTGCACGGAGCCAAATGCCTCCTGAACAAAGAAGAGAGTCCTACAAAATCCCGGAAAACTGGACCAGTTCCTCGTCGATCGCTGCAAAAACTGTACACGGTTTCCAGGTTAGTTCCCCAAAAATCCAATGAACTGCAGTTCGAGAAACGAGGAAAACAATGAGTAGCCTCTCGATTACAGAACTCCAGATGCGTCCCCAAATATAGAGGATGATTCCAGCTTCAGGCATTGGAAATCGGATCTAGGGTTTGGGTTGGCCGGATTTGCGTCCGCTAGGGTGAAATTCAGGTTGAAGAAACCGTCAATTGCGTAGACGATCGAAAATTGGGGTATCAGAGACTCCGACGATGATGATGGATATTTGTTCGGGCTGGCCAGAGGTCACGACGAGGTGGCTAGCGGGGAAGAGGGACTAGACAATGGAGGTGAAGGGCTGGGAGA